TTTTGATCCTTCGATCCACCTCAGACAAGGTCAACTAAGACCCTAGGAGGCTTTCGTGCAGACCCATTTGTTTTTGAGTTGATTTTTGGTGTTTATGTGAATTGGACAGTAATTGGCACTACACAGTACCACTGTTTGGCACTATTCCGATGCTTTTGATGTTTGGTTTCTTGTTTCTGCAAAGTATGGATCAAACTGGGAGTGTTTTTCTAGCCTAAAGTTGTTAATTGGTGTGTTTTCTTTCTTTGTTTGTATTATTTGCTCTGCTCAAAGTGTTCTTTGGGCAGGCCCTTGTGTGTTTTGGAGCAACTTGTGCTTGGACAGTGGTCTTCCCAGTGGTTCTTTGGTGTGTATTGTTGGTGATTAGTGGATTATTGTGGCTGCGGGTTTAGGATGCCTTTAATGTTTCTAATTACTAGGACACCCCTTATAGACCACTACTATTATTATATTTGGAACTTACCTGAAACAAAAATGTTATAATTTACAATAAATATGGTATGTATATTTTATTTGGGTGTGATGTTTATTATATAAATATTGACTGTATTTATTTTTCTACTAGTTAAAACATTATTTAATCTATTAAGGCAAGTTGATATACTCTATATTTGTTACTTGGATCTAATTTAGGAATTTTTAAAGAAGTTTGTTAGTTAAGTCAGGTGTAATACCTCGTTCCATTTTGGCAAGGAACTAGTTAGGGAATATTATCTTGAAAGGAATAAGAAAAATTTTAAAGAATAATTTAGAATAATCTAGAAGGATCTAGAATGTTGGAGAAGTTTCTAGAAAGTTCTAGAAGATTCTAGAAAGTTCAACAATAACCTAGAATAGTCTAGGATAATCTAGAATAATCTAAAATGTTGAAAAAATTTCTAGAAGAATCCGAAAAGTTCTAAGAAATACTAGAAGATTTTAGAGGGATTTAGAATGTTCCGGAAACATGCACAAGAACGTAGAAGGTTGGAGAAGACTTTGAAATATCATAGATGAATCTAGATGCTTGTGAAACTTGCCATGTGTAAAATAAACTTAAAACCTAGAAAGCTCTAGGAAATGGGAGAAGGTAGAATATTCTAGGGTGTCAATATTCTCTAGAATAATCCTAGGATACCTATAAATAGGGCATTTGGGGATTGGATTAAGATACAAGTGCACAAGTAGTCTTCCACTTTCAAGAAAAAATAGAGAGTAAAAGAGAGAAGAAGGAAGGAAGAACACCACATCAAAAGGAGAAAGGAAATTGTGAGAAAAAGAGGAAAAGCATCAATAACATCTCACTTTACTTCAAGTAACAAGCAACACTCAAGAAGCATATCATTTAGACTAGAGGTGAGTGGTTTGGCCTGCTACATATTTTTCCCGTATCCCGAAACATTTTAAAAATGATGCATAATGTTTGTTCTTTACTACCTTTACAATAATGTTTTACTAATTGTATATATATTTGCGGCATACGATTTTGATTACTTTGATGAACTTTTTTATGAAGTATTGTGACTCAACCATTTGTTTATATGGTGAGACTTTGTGATAGTAAATAGGACCATGATTGAAAGTCTAGGAAAATTATTCCTCTGTGTGCGGATGAGCATGGCCACTAGGGAACAGACCCGGAGGAGGCTAAGGTGACCCTAGTGCTCAACGGTTGAAGGAACAATGTCTGGTTCATCTTGGTGACCTTCACCGGATCGTCTTAGGGAACAGTTCCCGGGCGGCAACCCGTGGTGACCCTAAGTACGATGTTGGATCCAACCTTGAGATCTTCTGGCATTTGGTATGGTTCCCAGATATCGTACAAGTCCTTACCCGTACGAGATTATGATATAATTTGTTATTGTCACAATATTTTTACTGGCTTTGTTTATGATTATCTATTATATGTCATACATATTTTCTTGTTGTTAGTTATTGTATTTGGTATTTGGTTCCCATCAATTATTAGATATCGTACGGTCTCCACCATTATGATATGATTCACCATTGTGGTATGATTTCTTGTTGGAATCTGATTATGTTATTATCGAGAAATTAGTTATCTTGATGAAGTTATTTTTCCAAACCTTTGATTTACATGACGTATGTCAAATATGTTTTTTAGCCACTTTGAATATGCATGTCTTTCCATTCACTGGGCTTTTTAGCTCATATTTTTAAAATAATATTTTTTTAGGTAAACGATTGGAGTGTCAATAGCGGACTCAGGGAATTGAGTGGGGACTAATAGTGTTGTGACCTCCGTAGCATATATCGTATAGTCATCTTTACTTGTTTGGATAATTGGGACAAACAGATTTAGGTGTGTTGACTTTAACATATTGACATGAGATCAATTTATTGTTAATGTTATTTTTCACTCCTATATTCTTAGTTTATTGTTAGGCTTACGTGTTCCATAGGTTATGGATTTATGATTCACGGCCGGTCTTGCCCTTGGAGTTGGGGTGTGACATCAAGTGTGATAGTTGAAGTTATTGTTAACCAACAATCTTTGTAAATGTTCCTCTTGTTAGGATTGACATTAAATTATTTAACCTATTGTATACATTGCAATTTTTATTTATTTATTTTTTTATTGTGGGGAGGAATAGTGCGGGGAGCCGGGTAGGGAGCAAGACAAAGCCAATTGACAATTAACTCCCCCACTCAATTAGAGATCAAAAATTACAATAACAATGGATTAAACCCCAAAATTAAGTCCACAAATTAGGTTCAATTAGTATTATTCTTGATTAATATATTTCCGGTAGCACCCTACATCCCATTGTCCCTACATTTAATGTGCTAGATACAAGGATCAAAATTTCATTTCGGTGCATTGTTTTGGTCACCTAAGAAACAGAAACGTTTCGATCTGTTTCGGAAACATAATGAAAAAAATAAAAAATTTAAAAATTATTTTTTCAAAATATTAGTCGAAATATATCAAAATATCTTAAAATATTCCAAAACAATTTTACAAATGCATTGAAACATTACAAAATACCTCAAAATATTATGAAGCACCTCGAAGTATTATAATTTCGATTTCATCACTGATTCGTTTCAGTCTCCTTGGAAACGGAAACGTTTTGGACGCTTAGACTATTTCGAAACGAAATTTAGATCCTTGGCTAGATATAATTTGGACATATGATGTATAGATTTTATGGTTTATATTTTTAGGATTTTTTTGAAATTTTTCGGACCTTTTAACTAGCATTTCGAGAGTATTGGTCCATATGTGCCGTGACATCACGATCGATGTGCCTCAGTACCCTTCGAGTTAGTTGTCAATAATGCGACCTTAAACCATGACTAGAATACACAACAAGGTGGTTTATGCTTTGAGTCCCCACCTTGAACATACCAAGCAAAGCAAGCATAGGAGAGGCGAGAGAAAAGCGAGCAAAGGGAAGAAGCGATTGCTTTAGTGAACTTTTGAATTTTCTGTCTTAAACTATTATAGGTCGTTGGATTGATGCAACTACATCAAAAATTAGGTATGTCAATCACTGCCGATTGACCATCATCTATATATATGTAAACTAACCCTAATCACCAAATTGATTTGAGTCAGCAAATAGCGAGAAGCCTCTTCTCCTTTTCTTTACCCCATTCACAAGAAGGTATGCTTCTTTTCCTCTTCTTCTCTTCTTCCTCTGCTAATTTTTCTCCTCTTCTAATTCTTCCCCTCTTCTTCAGATTTTCTGGTTCTACCAGAATCTCCTCTTCCTCTTATACTCTGTTGCTATTTTGTTCTGTTTTTTTGTACTGTGATGCTGATTTTGCCGCCTCCTCTTCAATTCTTTTCTGGTTTTTTTTTTTTTTGTGATGTTGATTCTGCTTTCTCCTCTTCTACTCTGTTTCTGTTTTTTTTTTTTTTTGTGTTGTTATATTGCTAATTCTGCTTCCTACTGTTCAACTATGCTTCTGTTTTTTTTTTCCTAATGTGATGTTGATTCTGTTAGAACCTCCCATTCTGATTCTACTGTATTATGCAATTATGCTTAGACTAATTTTTTGCTTTGTTATGATTAGGTTTCTGATATGTTATGCTGATTTTCTGCACTTGTTGCTTAGACTGATTTTACTGTGTTTGTTTTTAGACTGCTCCTATTTGATTCTACTGGTTTGTTATGCTTAGTTCAATTGCTTCTCTCAAAAAAGGCTGATTAAACTAAAATATTTGCTTTTTTTTATTGTTCGCTTCGCTTCGATAAAACGCTCGCTTCGCCTTTCATTTCTTACCTAGGCCTCAGAAGAATTGTTTGTTTCGATTGGTTTTAAGCATTAAGTAACACTGCTCTACTCAATGCTATGCAAGTTGAGGAGTTAGGATTTGATTCTTTAAGAGATTTATATGCTAAATATCAGTATTTTTGGCATGTTTTGCATAATGTCAAAACTGGAGTGCAACTAACTTCCATTTCCATGACGCAAACCTTTTCAAGGACCATCAACTTTGCATTCCATATTTCTCCCTCCGAGAAAAGATCATCATGGTGCAGCATAACTAGAGGCATTTTGGACAAAGTAAGAGCTAGGCGTCCGTGGTTGAATGTTTCTTTTGGCCTAGACTAAAACAAGATGTCAAAGGGTATGCTGAGAGGTGTCGTGTGTCAACAAGCAAAGGTGGATGTACTATCACCAAATTATACACTCCACTTCCTATTACTAATCCACCATGGACAGAAATTAGCATGCACATTGTGTTTGGTCTCCCTACTACTCAAAGAAGGAAGACAATGGATGCCTCTAATATTGCTTATCTAATCTTTAAAGTGATATAAATATTGCATCGACTTCCCCACTCCATTGTTTCTTATTGTGATACTAAGTTTCTTGAACGCTTTTGGAGGACTCTAGAAGAAAATTGGGACAACTTTGGACTTTAGTACTTCTTTTCATCCTCAAATGAATGGTCAGACCAAAGTTGCCAATACAAGTTTGGTCAATTTTGTTACGAAGTCTAGCTAAATAGAAGCCTAAACAATACGTTTTTGCTAAATTTGTTTCTAGCAATGTATGGACACAAAACTAACAGCGTAGTCAATCTGGTACCCATTCCAAATTTGAAGAAAGTTAATGTAAAAGCATAAGAGGTTGCAGATCACATGAAGCATATCCACGAGCCTGTCCAACATCCTCTTGAAGCCAACAATTCAAAGTACATTAGATTAAGATTTTACTTACTCGGTCAGCAGCCGCTTGCAGAGTTACATGATCTCCCCATTCCCCCAATCTGGTCCCATAAAAAAATATTGTAAGCTTTGATTAGAAAACCAATCACACCAAGGAATCAAAATATGCTTCAAATTTACAGGAAACATTTCAAGCATAACCAAGATGTCTCACTTTTTCATCTTCTTCAGGTAGCTTTTATACTTCATAGGAACGTAGCCTTCGTACAACTTTCTGAAATGCTTTAGCTGCAAAATAAATTCAGAAACTATGACAATAAATTATCTAATGAAGAACAAACTTCCTTTGAGTGCAAGATATATAATGAAAGATTACTAATAGATTGCCATGCAAGCATGCATTAAAAACACACACACACACAACAATGGAAAACAAAATGTATACACAGATGATAATATCTTCTGTTTAAATATGCATGCGGCTATTTAAGAAATACCTTGGAAAAAGCAGACATTCACAAAAACCAGCGGAGTTTAGAGATGCCAAGAGGTTTTAGAACTAAAATTCCAAACTTGGAATGAAATGAGAGGCTATAGAACTTGATCATTGTAAAACCCGGATAAATTTAAATTTTTCATGAAAAATGGCAAAATGGTAATTTGCCACTACAGTATGGGTTGTAAATCTGAATTTTTCTAGAACTCGAATGACAAAACGGACCTCACCGTTGGATTCGTCTCACGAAATCTAGTTACTCCGTCAAATTTCGTCGAATTCCAAAATAGTCGAATTTTTCATAATTTACGAGACGGTAGAGTCTCGGGTGACTCAAAAACGAAAGTTTTAATAAAATTTTGAAAGTTGAAAAATAATTGAAGGCAAATTAAAATAAAAATATTTTAGACTTAAAGCGAGGCGAAATTTAATCGTTTTAGGGCGAAAATGGATCCGGGAAAAAGAGGGTCGTGCGGCACAATATGAGCCAAGCAAATGGAGGGTATAAAAAGGGGAAAAATCTGATTTCTCCCTCACATTCTTCAGCTAGTTTAACGTGAGAGAGGAAGAGAGAAAAAGAAGGAGCTATCTACTTCTCTCTACGATCTACAACATTCTAGCGGTCAAATCCGCTCGGACCAAGAGGGAAAGTTGTTCTCCTCGACGTGGGCTACAAGACCATACCAAAAATCAAAAATTTCACCGAAGTTCCAAAATCGAGCTTAGAGAAATCAAGGGTTTTGGGCGAGAATAGGATTCTTGAAGGCTTCTACCAAGTGGTTTACGCTTCAAGAGGTAGAGTTCCCTCCTACTTAGGTTTATTTACAACCTAGGATGCTTATATGAAATGGGTATGTTGATAGGATGCTATATCACTTGTCTATTATGGTGGATTTAATGAAATGGGTATTGGAATTGGGTAGAGTGAATTTTATCTTGAATTAGGTATGTGAATTTGACTCAATGTGATTCATGGAAATTGGGTATTACGCGGACATGTTATGTGTGTATTTTATGCCTTGAAAATCAAGTGTATTATTAGCATATGTTATGTAATAACATGCTAGCGAATTGTTGTTGGAAATGAAATGTTGATATATGTTCATTGATATATTAGCATTGTAATAAAGTTTGGTGATTATATGCATATGATATAATTGGTCATGGAACATGTATATATATGAGGTTAAACTTGCTCATGTGACATTCATTACATATGGGCATGACATTGATTAAGCAATGGTGCATTATATTGCATTTGCACGGAGAAACCGCATCCATAGCCATGAGTGTGGGTGTGTGTGTGTCCATGGTTGATATCAAACACCAAATAGGTGAATAATAGTGGGCTTGAAAAAGTTGGATCGAAGATCCGACTGAGTCGCACGGTGGTATGGATAAAAAATTGGATCGGGGTTAGCAAGAAGGGCTAGACTATCTCTCGGGTGAGAGACCCGGTGATCGGATACGCACTCCGTTGGTATAAGAGTCCATAAAGTGTGTCAGTGTACGCGGAACCGTTGGTGGAGGTCCATGAATTCCGTGTCGGTTGGGAGGAAAGCCGATTTTTATACTCATGACATTGCATGGGGAAAAAAGGAGCCAAGGAAGGCTCAGGTTGAGCTGAATGATTGAGTCTCATCTCAATTCATGACATGACTTTAATAAAATTCCAACATTGAATAATATATTCTTGGTTGGGATGTTGTTGGTTGTAAAGTGTTGCATGAACATTCATATGCACTTAGGTTGGGGAATAGCCTCGATAGGAAATACTCTACTGGACGTGGCTCATCCTATACGAAAAAATATTTCAGGTGCGGAATATACATCGGTAGAAGGCCCTCACACGGGACCGCAAGGGTGAAGAAAGCCGAAATGTGGCTTTATTTTGAGTTTTATAAAACAGTTATGAAATTTCTATTTTGGTATGTAAATACATTAAATTGAATGTAATAGAACTTGTATGGACCTTGTATTACATGAAAAACTGCATTATACATGAGTTTGATGGAAATAATATACTTACGAATGAGTTAGAAATGAAAAGCTGGTGAAATAGGTAAAAGTGAGCAAAGCGTACCGGTACGACGAGGTCCAGTGGGTTACCCGTACCGGTACAGATTTTACAGTTGGTCACCCGTACCGGTACGAAGGATCAAAATATCGTTTCGAAACAGTTAAAACGTCCGAAACGTTTCCGCTCCCAATGAGACCGAAACGAAACAGTGATGAAATCAAAATTTTGATATTTCAAGGTATGTCATAATATTTTTAAATGTATTATAATATTTCAATGTATTTGCACAATTATTTTAGAATATTTTAAGGTATTCTAAGATATTTTGATATATTTTCATCAATGTTTTAGAAAAATAATTCTTTAATTTTTTATTTTTTTCATTATGTTTTCGAAACGGGTCGAAACATTTGCGAAACACGTTGAAATGTTTCCGTTTCCTAGGTGATCGAAAAAATACACCGAAACGATATTTTGATCCTTGACCGGTACAACCTTGTCCAGAAGGCAGAGCGTACCGGTATGCCATACCGGTACGGATTTTCCAGAAGGCTCACCGTACTGGTACACTTTCCAAAATTTTGAAATTTTAAAATTACTTAGCCAAACTTTTGGGTTATGGGTTCTTTGGTTCCCAGAATATAAATGGATTATAATGGAGCATGAAATGAGGTACAGTGGGCCATGATTAGATTAAATGATAAAATGTACACGGGTTACACGTGTGGGTTATAATCCCAATTAAAAGGATGTTATTGACATGATGTCGAGTTGTGCGACAAACAAGGGTATTTTCGCAGGTTGACGGATGGTCAACGGTCGATAAAGGACCCCCGGTTTTAAGGGGCGTCACAATCATAGTGGAGACAAGGCTTCAGACATTGCAAGTCATCCTGGTTGACAAGATTGTTTGTATCATAAACACCAAAGTAATATCGAGAAGGTTGAAAAAGCATTTAATATCTATATCTACAAGTGAAAAGGATTCTCAATATATGGTCCTTTTTCATGAAACAATTGTATTGACGATTTAAAGTTGCACTTCATATCCAATTATCAAAATTCTTAAAAAAATGTTCTATAATGACAATGAAAAGGGATAAGATCAGCAAAAGCTAAAACTATTTTCCAACGTCACCGGAAAAGCTGTCTACTTATTGAAGCCATTAGGGAATCTACTTATTGAAGCCATTAGGGAAAGGTTTAAAGGAAGAAAAGGCCGTGAATGAATTTTATCAACTTCAGGAGCATGAAGACAAATAGAATGCATAGCAATATTGTTTCTTGTAAAAAAATAAAGCAAGTTCCTGCAGTGAAACATCTACACTGAGAACAATGGGAGAAGAAATGAGTGAGTTTCCTGATACAATATGCTTGCAATGGGCAGCTTTAAGCACACACCTTTCTATCTCAATATGGATATCCTGCCTGAACATAATAAGGAATGGTTCCACGGTGCAACCATTCTGGTGATACTATATTGAATGGAACTAAGTACAGCCACCTGTGGAAAAGATGCTGTGGACTCAAGTTTTTCGTGCAGGCAGGGGAAGAAATAACAGAAAATCAGCTGCTTTAAAGATAAGAGAACTGCTACTAAATATATGAAATGCATCACGATGAGATGCCCATTTCACACAACACCAGCTAATCACTTCAGGATTAAAGGAAACACGATCATTAATATCCACTAGTTTTTAGCATTTCCATACGCAGAATCCTGTTTATAAGCAGCTCAGAACAAGGAGAGAAGAAGAAAAGCAAAAACACCATGTGAACTGTACCTGCTTGACAACCTCCTTCCTGACGTGTTTGTGATAATCAGGATTGCGAAACAACTGATCTGCAAGTGCTCGGAACTGTCCCAAAATTCAAACAAATAACGTTAAGCATAAGTTGGATCTGAAACAAAAATAGAGTTATCTATACCAGGAAAACAGAGGAAAGGGTGGGGGTGGGGGTGGGGGTGAGAGAGAGAGAGAGAGAGAGAGAGAGAG